CCTGAGTCTCTGCCAGGCGCAGCGTGTGGGAGGCTGTTTTCTTTTGTGTCTCTCTCTCTCTCTTTCTCTCTCTCTCTCTCTCTCTCTCTCTCTCTCTCTCTCTCTCTCACACACACACACACACACACACACACACACTCACTCACACTTTCTTCTGTTATCACTCATGAAATTCCACTCTGTGCCAGGCCCTGGGCATGTATCAAGTGCATGGTCCCTGCAGCCTCTGTCCCTCTTCTTAGAGATGCAGGGGATAATCACACCTATTCTAGGGAGGTATCCTGGAGGAAGCAGGAGGCAGAGATGCCCCAAGTGGGGATCAAACCTGACTCTGCTCTCCACCCACAGTTCCACCCCTCTATGTCCCAGTGGGAGCTCCTGGTGCCCATCTATGTAACTCGGGGCAAGGTCAAGCGGCTGGACAATGCCCAAGCTCTTTATGGTAAGCCTTGAGGTGACAAGGCAGGTGGAAGCAGGTTGTGCAGCACAAGAGCGGTGGATCAGCATGCTGCCTCAACTTTCCCTAGTGACCCTGTATGACTGTGCTGTGGGCCACCCTGACTGCAGCCACTGCCAGGCAGCCAATGGGAGCCTGAGTTGCCTGTGGTGTGGTGATGGCCAGCCTACCTGTCGCTATGGGCCACTGTGCCCACCAGGGGCTGTGGAGCGACTGTGCCCCACACCTAGCATTGATGCGGTGAGATTCCCTCCTGCAGGCTCTCACTCCCCCATTCCCCATGGTCCCTATCCCCACTGTCCAATACTCCCCCATGTCACACCACCCTTGCCTCAAGCTCCCAATCTCTAGTTGTTTGGTCCAAACATAGGCCAGTTGGCTGACTGGGCACCACCACCGCAGAATGGGATATGGGTTTGGGGGATCCTATCTGCTGTCCTTTTCTGCTACAGATTGAACCCCTCACTGGTCCCCCAGAGGGTGGCTTGGCCATTACCATTCTGGGCTCCAACCTGGGCCGGGCCTTTGCCGATGTGCAAAATTCTGTGACTGTGGCTGGCCAGCCCTGCAGCCCTGATCCAGCTCTCTACCGCACCTCTGCCCGGTGAGGCGCCTAAGCAGGCTGGGGATGGTGGGGATGCTATTCGGGGTAGGCTTTCAGAAACTGGCTACCCAGAGAGAAGGGAAGCTTGCAGCCAAAAACTGGGGCCCTGGGTCAGAGCACAAAAGAGAAACAAGTGGTGGAGGAGGAGCAGGCTCTAGGCAGCAGCTGACAGACTGCCCCCAGGCTGCCCCAGGCTCCCCCAGGGTGAGCAGCTATTGGGACCTTGGTTTATCAGGATCGTGTGTGTGACATCTCCTGCCCCCAATGGCACTACTGGGCCAGTCCAAGTGGCCATTAAGAGCCGCCCACCTGGCATCTCAACTCAGTACTTCACCTATCAGGTCAGTAACTCTCTTGGGGGGTCCTAATGCAGGGTACGGTGGGAGGGAGGGTTAGGTAATAATGTCAAACTAGATCCACGATGGAAGCCACATGATCTCAGTGGAGAGTATAGTGTCCAGAGTCAGCAAGACTTGTTGCAGTGCTGGCTGCCTGCAGGAGCAGGAGGTGCAGGGGAAATAGGGACAGCTCCCAATGTTAGCCTGAGGCCTGGACCCTTGGTAGGACCATTGCAGAGTGCAGGGATTAATAGGAGGCAGAGGTGGGTGGGTTAGGGTCAGTTCCGCTGCACTTTTTCAGTACTACTCCAAGTTAGCAATTGGATTCCAAAGCTTGGAACTTAGGAACCTGCAAGTGCAAGCTACCCCAAGGAGGAGAAACTGGTAGTGAGGGCAGGGGCAGATGGAGGGGGCTGGCTGGGCAGAGCTGCAGAAAAAAGGCATGGAGCTTTAGAAAGAAGGGTGTAGTTAGCTGAGGCTCCTGAGTCATGAAACCAAGTAGATCTGTACCTCAAAGCTCAAGGGGGCCTTGAAGATGGGCCCTGTGCCTACTCCACCCTGACTTGTTCCCTAGGACCCTGTCCTGCTGAGCCTGAGTCCTCAGAGGGGGCCCCAGGCAGGGGGCACCCAGCTTACCATCCATGGACAGCACCTCCAGACAGGAGGCAATATCAGTGCCTTTGTGGGCAGACAACCTTGTCCCATGTAAGTATCCAACCCTGCTGGCCTCCTGTTCCAGGCCCAACTGCTGTCAAGTGGGGGATCCTCCTATAGGGCAGTGGATTCAAGGTTTCCTTAAAATTCTAAGAGAAATGGACTATGCCTACTCCTAGTGACCTCTGCTTCTGCTAAAGGAAGCAAGTAGGCCTCTCCCTGGAGGGCTGGGTCAGGACTGGGGCTGAACACAAAATGACAACACCCTCTCCCTGCAGCCAGGAGCCTGTGTGTCCTGAGGCCATTGTATGCCACACCATGCCACAGGCTGAGCCAGGAGAAGCAGTGGTCCTTGTGGTCTTTGGCCATGTCGAACGCAAACTGCTCAGCAGCCCCTTTCAATACACTTCCAACCCCCAGCTGGTAGCAGCAGAGCCCAGCGTCAGCTTCCGGGGGTGAGAACCTTGATAGCCCATGGGGTAGCCTGGGCACTGAGCCACCAGAAAGATGGAGTACTAGGGCTGGGCTACTCACTGCATTCTTGACCTTCTGACTTCCATCCTGGCATAGGGGTGGACGGCTGATCCGAGTCAGGGGCACAGGCCTAGATGTGGTGTGGCAGCCCTTGCTATCAGTATGGCTGGAGGACAAGGACCAGGTGAAGGCTTTGAGGGTCCAGCCCCAGGATGTGAGCCCAAGGAGGAGCTGTGGTGCCTCTGTTGCAGACCCCCAGCCTTGTATCCAGCTTGAGAAGGGTTTGCTGCAGGTGAGCACCCCCGACACCATCGGGGTACAGGACTATCCCCACAGCATGCCCAATGAGGGGGCAGGGAGGGCCACTGAATCCACAGAAGCAAGCAGGAAAGCTCACCAGTCTGCATCACTGCCCCCTCTAGTGCTCCACCACGTGCTCTGTCAACTCATCCAGCCTCCTCCTGTGCCACAGCCCAGCAGTGCCAGATGGGGCCCTCCCAAAGCGGGTCTTCTTTGCCCTAGACAACATACAAGTGGACTTCGCCAGTGCCAGTGGAGGTCAGGGCTTCCTGTACCAGCCCAACCCCCGTCTGGCCCCGCTTACTCGTGAGGGGCTCACCCACCCCTATCGCCTCAAGCCGGGCCATGTCCTGGATGTCGAGGTAAGTGTGCCACTGGCCAGGCACTGTCTGGGCACCCACATATCTTGTTGGGGGACAGAGGAATCAGCCAGGATCTGTCTCTTGCCATGTGTCCCAGGGCGAGGGCCTCAATCTGGGGATCAGCAAGGAGGAGGTGCGAGTGCACATTGGGGACGGAGAGTGCCTGGTGAAGACGCTGACACTCAATCACTTGTACTGTGAGCCACCCCCACGTGCCCCTCAGCCAACTAACGGCTCCAATGCCTTACCGCAGTTCGTGGTGAGTGTGAGCCCCAGGTGTACGGGTGGTGAGCTGCAGGCCCATGCTCAGGAACCCTACCCCCTAGGTACAGATGGGTAATGTGCGCCTGGCCCTGGGTCCTGTCCAGTATGAGGCTGAACCCACGATGTCCACCTTCCCTGTGGAGGCCCAGGTGGGCCTGGGCATGGGTGCTGCTGTGCTGATTGCCGCAGTGCTCCTCCTCACCCTCATGTACAGGTGAGAGTGCTTCCCCTTCAGTGCACCTGCCCAAACCAGGATGGTTTGGGCTTGTGCCTGATGTCTGGCCTTTGGATGCAGGCACAAGAGTAAGCAGGCCCTTCGAGACTACCAGAAGGTGTTGGTGCAGCTGGAGAACTTGGAGACCGGTGTGGGTGACCAGTGCCGCAAAGAGTTCACAGGTGTGTAGGGGTGCAGGCAGGGGCGACAGGGCATCCACCAGGCCTGATCCCACATCTTGGTGGCTCCTGGCCTGCAGACTTGATGACTGAAATGACAGACCTCAGCAGTGACCTGGAGGCCAGCGGGATACCGTTCTTGGATTATCGTACATATGCTGAGCGTGCCTTCTTCCCTGGCCATGGTGGCTGCCCACTGCAGCCTAACCTTGAGGCACCTGGGGAGGAAAGTCGTCGTGCCACAGTGCGCCAAGGCCTCACACAGCTCTCCAACCTGCTCAACAGCAAGCTCTTCCTCCTCACGGTGAGAGCCATGTGGGCGAGGGGGACAGACAGGGTAGGGGAGTCTCAGCTGGTAGGGAGGTGGGGCTGGTAACTGGTCAGGCCTGGTAGAGTCATGACCACAGAATTGGGGAAGGCATGGGGCTTTGTGAGTGAATGTTGGCTCCCTGTCTAGCTCATCCACACCCTGGAGGAGCAGCCGAGCTTCTCCCAGAGGGACCGCTGCCATGTGGCTTCACTGCTGTCCCTGGCACTGCACAGCAAGCTTGAGTACTTGACTGACATCATGAGGACTCTGCTTGGTGACCTAGCTGTCCATTATGTACACAAGAACCCCAAGCTCATGCTGCGCAGGTTGGACTTGACCTGGGTGTGGTGTCAGGGGCAGAGGCTCACCGCCGACCCATTCCTAATACATGCTGAGTGGGATCTGGCCTGAAGTTGGGGAGACAGGAACCTCAGGAATGGGGCCAGAGGGGAATTGAGGAGCATCCTCACCAGGGCCTTGGGGTTTCCTCCCCATAGGACGGAAACCATGGTAGAAAAGTTGCTCACCAACTGGCTGTCCATCTGTCTGTATGCCTTCCTAAAGGTGAGAGTCACTGCTTCCCCAGCACTTGGGAGCTTCTGCCTGCCTATGACCTCTGTGACTGGTGCCCAAATTCCCCCAAGACCCCAGAAACTTAGGGTGGGTCATCAAATGAGGGTCATGAGATCCTTCTCCCATGAGAGGCCCAGAATAAGACTGTGCTGGGAAGGGAAGCCATTGCATTCTTTTCCAGCCAGATTTGAGGCAGGGGCACAAAGGGCATGGGGGCCCAGCCCAGGGACCTGTGTGGGCCAACTGGCCTTTGCCCATCCTTGCTGAAGGCTGCTAAAACTGTCCCCTCTCACTCCCACCATGCCCTCCACTGGGCCTTGCTGGGGGATCCACTGGCCCTGTGGCCAATTGCTGGCCCATCTTAATGGTTGCAGGAAGTAGCTGGTGAGCCACTGTACATGCTCTTCCGGGCCATCAAGTACCAGGTGGACAAGGGCCCTGTGGATGCTGTGACAGGCAAGGCAAAACGAACTCTGAATGATAGCCATCTTCTCCGAGAGGATGTGGAGTTCCGGCCCCTGACACTAATGGCACTGGTGGGATCTGGGGCTGGTGGAGCTGCAGGGAGCAGCGAGGTACAGCGAGTGCCAGCCCGGGTACTCGACACAGACACCATCACCCAGGTCAAGGAGAAGGTGTTGGATCAAGTCTACAAGGGCACCCCCTTCTCCCAGAGGCCTTCAGTGCACTCCCTAGACCTTGGTGAGAGAGTCAGCAACCTTACTCCCAGCTTACCCACTGCTCCTTTCACACTTGCAGCCATTCAACTGCTTGATGGGATGGGGGGCTCAGGGAGCTGTGGGCTGATAGACTTCTCTGGATCCCTCCAGAGTGGCGCTCAGGCCTAGCTGGTCACCTAACTCTGTCGGATGAAGACTTGACTTCAGTGACTCAAAACCACTGGAAGAGGCTCAATACCCTGCAGCACTACAAGGTGCTGGTGGGCAGTGACAGGCCAGGGTGGGAGGGGCGGGAGCTGCCTCCAAGACCAGCCTGTGAAGGGTCTCCCCTTGCATCCGTGTTTCCCCAGGTCCCAGATGGAGCAACAGTGGGGCTCATCCCTCAGCTTCACAATGGTGGTACTGTCTCCCAGAGCCTAGCCCAGACTGGCTGCCCCTCTGGAGAGAGTGAGTTCCTTGGCCCAGACATGCCCATTTGCCCAAAGCACCAGCAATGCTGGGGTGGCCAAGGCTAGAATCACCAGAGCCCAAGGCTGGGCCAGCAGTAGTCCTCAGTATGCCATCTACCTCACCTGGGTTGCTCACCCCACCTTGCCAGTGGGCTAGCCAAAGCTCCAGGCTGAACCAGGGTGTGGATGTTTTGGAGCCATAGGATTTTAGGCTGAGCAGGGTCCTGGGACACCTGTCTCTCTGCCGCCATCTTCTCCCTCCCCACTCTCCCACCCCATCTCTCCCCCTGCCTGCTGAGAGGAGTGTGGACTGCACATTTCAGGTTGCTGGTGCTGGTTGGGGAAAGGAACCTGGGACTGAGAACAGGTTTCTGTACCCTCAGACACTCCCATGTTGGAGGATGGTGAGGAGGGTGGGGTACGACTCTGGCACTTGGTGAAGGCCACTGAGGAGCCAGAAGGGGCCAAAGCACGGCGCAGCAGCCTCCGAGAACGAGAACGAGAGCGGGCACGGGCCAAGGCCATTCCGGAAATCTACCTCACTCGCTTACTTTCCATGAAGGTTGGTGCAGACAGGGGAACTAGCCCATGAATCACGGTTGCCAAAAATCTGTAACTGAATGGGGACTAAGGTGTGGGCCTGATGAGGCACAGGGTGGTCCTTTACACTCTACTTTCACATGGCCCTCATCCTCTGCCTTGCAGGGCACCCTGCAGAAGTTTGTGGATGATACCTTCCAAGCCATTCTTAGTGTAAACCGGCCTGTACCCATTGCTGTCAAGTACTTGTTTGATTTCCTGGATGAACTTGCAGAGAAGCATGGCATTGAGGATCCTGAGACCCTGCACATTTGGAAGACAAACAGGTGCCTTTCCTGCTAACCCCTCCTCTTTCCAAGGTGTGGGCAGTCTATTGAACTTCAGAGGAACAAGGACATGCTGGCAGGGTAGCAAGTCCAAAACAGGAACCCAAGTTTTTGTTTTTTTGTCTTTTTGAGACAGGGTCTCCCTGTAGCCCCAGCTGCCCTGGAACTCACTATGTAGACCAGGCTGGCCTTGAACTCACAGAGATTCTCCTGCCTCTGCCTCCCGAGTGCTGGGATTAAAGGCATGCACCACCACGCCCAGCTAGGAACCCAGGTTTTACAGCATCATCCTGAGTTTCTGTCCTGACTCCCCAGCCTGACTTAATAGGAGGATACAGCCTCAGGTCATCTGGGCCATGAGGCTAGCCCTCCATGGCAAACAAAGCCTGGGCTCCTTGCTGCCTAGGTTCCTAGCTCCAGGACAGATATCTCTGTGAAGTGGTGGGGCAGGGCGGAGGGGACTGGAGTACAGGGTGAGAAGGCCACAACTGCAGGCCAGGCCTCAACCCTACTCCTGGTCTGTGCCTCCAGCCTGCTGCTGCGGTTTTGGGTGAATGCCTTGAAGAACCCACAGCTCATCTTTGATGTGCGAGTGTCAGACAACGAGGACGCCATCTTGGCTGTCATCGCGCAGACCTTCATAGACTCCTGCACACTCTCAGAACATAAAGTGGGCAGGGTGAGGGCAGAAGCAGGGGCCAGTGGTGAACAAAAGCTTCTGGGGAAACCCTGTACAGAGCCTGGGGGAGGGGGTCTGGGTACTGAACCCTGATGTTGGGAAGGGTGGTATCACGGAGCTAAGAAATGACAATGCAGGTGACTCCCCCATCTCCCTGCTTATGCTTCTCACCTCCTCTACCTGGAGCAGGATTCCCCAGTGAACAAACTGCTCTACGCACGGGAGATCCCTCGCTACAAGCAGATGGTGGAGAAGTAGGTATCAGAGTCATTGGGACTAGGGATTATGGCTGCAAGCCCCTAACTCTGCTGGCTTTTCCTCCAGGTACTATGCAGATATTCGCCAGAGCTCTCCGGCAAGTTACCAAGAGATGAACTCGGCTCTGGCTGAACTCTCTGGGGTGAGGCATGGCCCAGGGAACTACGTCCTCTACATTTAAGGAAAGAATAACTGGTAGAGCAGTGGGGGGAGCCTTGGGGCTTGAGGCTGGGATGAGGGTCTCACTGCTACTCACATGCTGCCCATAGAACTATACCTCTGCTCCCCACTGTCTGGAGGCTCTGCAAGAACTCTACAATCATATCCACAGGTATTATGACCAGGTAAGGCCCAGAGTACTCTGGAGGGGAGAAGGAAGGCACTTGGAGGAGATGGAGCCAAGACAGTGACCCACAGAATCTCCCGGGGGCGGGGGACTATCCCAGTGGAGAGAAGGAAGGGGGCCAGCCTCTCACCTGGGGCTCCTTGAGGTCTCTAGTGGACCTCTTCTGCCACCCCAGGCCCCTGTAGAGATGGAAAAAGGACTGGATGGTCCTGGGCTGATGCATAGAGAGATGGGACTTCAAGCAGGTACGCTCTGTTGCCTTGACAGATCATCAGTGCCTTGGAGGAGGACCCTGTGGCCCAGAAGATGCAGCTGGCCTGCCGCCTGCAGCAAATTGCTGCTCTGGTGGAGAACAAAGTGACTGACTTGTGAGCTAGGGCCAGAGTGGGCGTCTGAGGCCTGCCAGATGAGAGAACAGCATATAAGACCCACCGCTGAAGTACCATATAACCCCTGGACTGAGCAGGGCTGTATAGAGTGCCCACCACCCCACATCTTGCTTGTTTCTAATTTTATAATGACCCCTACCTTTTTCCCCATTGTATTTATTTGCTTACTGAAGAATCGCATCTGAGAATAAAATAGAAATGCATCTTAAAAAAAAATCTCAGATGGGCATGGTACCGCACACCTTTGATCTCAGCACTCCAGAGGCAAAGGCAGGCAGATCTCTGTGAGTTCAAGGCCAGCCTGTATACATTGCAAGTTCCAGACCAACTGGGGCTACAGGGAGACCCTGTCTCAACAAAGCCTAATAATAGTAACAATAATAATAATAATAATAATAATAATAAATCCCAATCCGTAGCCCCTGCCTTCCCCTGCGAGTGTCAGTTCAGTACTCCCTGGAGCTAAGGTGAAAGGCATGAGCAGGCGAGGTGCAGAACCAGCTGCAGCACCACCTCTAACTCCATGATGCTACTGCTCCCAGCACCAGGGCTCAGTACACAAACCTACCCAGGCTCTGCCCAACACTTGCACACAGCCTTTCTTCTATTTGCCTATGGCATCATGCCTCTGCCCAAAGGCTGTAACTTGCCACCCAAGAGGAAAGATGTCATTAGGCCTTCAGTGCTTTGCTCTGCCTCTCCTTTTTTGACCTCCTAAGTCCCATACGAAAGCTATCTTCTCTACCTATGCCTGCCCCTCCCCTACCAGTTCTTTCTTACCACAGGACACTAGATAAAATGTCTCTCACTGCCGGGTGTGGTGGCCAGGTGTGGTGGCACACGCCTTTAATCCCAGCACTCCAGAGGCAGAGGCAGGCGATCTCTGTCAGTTCAAGGCCAGCCTGGTCTACATAGTGAGTTCCAGGACAGCTGGGGCTACAGGGAGACCCTGTCTTTAAAAGACCAAAAAAAAAAAAAAAGTCTCTCACCTTGGGATAAGAACTGTCCCCATCAAGCCTCCTCCACTTCAGACTACCCCAGAAGTTCCCAGCTGGCCTCCCGACTCCACTCTTGTCCCTTTATTCTTTTCTAGAAGCGGCCAGTCCTCCAAGGGATTTTAGGAAAGGTGAACAAATGTGTTTTGAGTTTTTTTTTTTTTTGTGGGTTTGTTTTTTTTTTTTTTTTCCGAGACAGGGTCTCATATATCCTCAGCTGGCCTTGAACTTGCCATGTAGCTGGGGGTGATCTTGAACTTCTGTTCCTCTTCCCTCTACCTTCTCAGTGCTGAGATTACAGGCATACTCCACTACAACTGGTTTATGAGGTGCTGGTGATCAATCCCAGGGCTTCATGCATCCTAAGCATCACTCTACTGAGACATATCCTTAGCCCCTGAGTGAGCTTTCTAAGGGTAAAAATAGTTACCAACCTTGCTGAAACTTCCTAGTGGCACCCAGACTCCAGATGGAGTCCTCAGTTTCCCCAACTTCATGCTGTAGCATGCCAGCACATGGCAGTTTGCAGTGTGCCCTGTGTTGCCTTGAATGTTTCTGGGGACTCAATTCTCCTGGTTTCTCAGGATATACAGGATCCTTCTGTCACCGCCCAGCTTATGGGCAGCTTGTGCGATGTTTGTTTCCCTGGTGTACACAGCAGAACTGGCCCACAGCAGGCACCTGCAAATGTTGGAGACGATCAAGTAGAGATAGCCCTGGAGCTAAGAGAGGCCTTGCAAGTCACAGTGGTGATTGGGGGGTGGGGGGTATTGCCTCTGGCGAGAAGAATGAGTTGCTTCAGCTCTCACCCTTGATCCCTCACAAAGCCTCATTCAGCAGAAACTTGGGCTCTCATCTATCTTAGGGATCTGTGAGCCTGAAAGCAAGCTGGAATGAGAGCTGAGAATGGGCAGGAAATGGGGACCCAATGGAAGTGGCAGAGGTCACCTCCAGAAGGACACTCAGGTAGGCTAAGTGGGAAGTTCGAGAATGCTTCCAGCACGCTACAGTACTTGGAGAGAGCTCAGCCCAAGGACCTGGTCACCATGTCATCTACATCCTTTCATGGGGTAACCTGAAAGCTCTGGGGCACAGATACTCCATCCCTATCCTTGGCTGGTGGGGAATTAGTCTAGAGACTGAGTCACTGCTCCATCCCCAGCTGGTGAACCCTCTGCTCCTGGAGTGTGGGTAAAACACATGGGCTAGGTCTCGGGGCTGGGCTCTCCAGGGCTGCCATCCGTACTCTGCCCCCTCCCCGAGCTGCATACCTTGCCCACAGCTGAGCAGCTGGGAGGCTATTTATAAAGACGGGTGAGATCAGCGACAGAGGCTATAAAGGCACAGGCCTCCGGCACAGGCCCCGGCTTGGCCTCACAGGAGCAGCCGCCCTGGGGCACTGGAGCTTTGGGCTACTACAACACCAAAATGAGTGCCAGCGCAGGTGGTGGTGGTGGTGTGGATTGTGGTGGCAGTAGCAGCAGGTATGGCTAGGCTGGGGCAACTGGGGCCCTGTTCATTGTGTGTGCTCACTGCCTGAGTCCTCCCTCTTCACCCACAGCTCTCAGGTCTCTTGTGGGCCTGAGTCCTCAGGCTCTGAACTAGCTCCAGCCACACCAGCACCTCGGCTGCTCCAGGGCCTCTTGGGTTCTGATGATGAGGAGCAGGAAGACCCCAAGGACTACTGTAAGGGTAAGGCCTGGCCATGGTTGCATGTGGTCAGTGAGATTGCCACTGCAGGGGTTCAGGACAGTCTGAAAGGAAGATGGTGCCCATTGGTTGGGCCCACGTGGGCCAGATGACCAGCAGGGCTGGGCTATCTTGAGAAACAGGAGATGTCCTACTCTGCTCTGTGGGCTCCTTTCGGCAGGTGGCTACTATCCAGTGAGGATCGGTGACTTGTTCAATGGGCGGTACCACGTGGTACGCAAGCTTGGCTGGGGCCACTTCTCTACCGTTTGGCTCTGCTGGGATATTCAGTGAGTGGCTGGGATCTGCCCCTGGACTTGGTTGAGGCCACCACCATGACCACGTGAGTGTAGCCAGGTCTGGCAGCCCATGAGGGTCTCTATACTGCAGGCGCAAGCGCTTTGTGGCCCTGAAAGTGGTGAAGAGCGCCGGGCATTACACGGAGACAGCTGTGGATGAGATCAAGCTCCTGAAATGTGTGAGGCGCCTCCCCTACTGCTCCCAGCTCCCTGAACTGCCTGAGTCCTGGCAATGTGGGTGCAGGGCCTGCTGGGGCCCTGCAGAGCTGGGCGGGGCTCCTAGAGAGGCAGGCTCCAGCTGGCTGTGTGGAGTGGGAGGACCCAGAGGGCAGAGCCTGAGAGAAGCAGTGGACTTTTCTTCAAGTGGGCCCCAGCTGGAGTTAGAGAGGGAGCCAGAGGCGCTTCCGGGTGCTTTACAGCGTCGCTAGTGAGGAGCAGGTTGGCGCTATCTGCGGTCTCTTGGCTTTTGTTCCAGGTTCGGGACAGTGACCCTAGTGACTCCAAAAGAGAGACCATTGTTCAGCTCATTGATGACTTCAGGATCTCAGGGGTTAACGGAGTCCGTATCCTTTGCAGTGTAGTGGCCAAGAGGCTTTAGTCTCCCCGGTCTGCATCATGGGGCTCAGTCCTTACAGGGGACTTGGGCATTTGTTTCTGGGGAGGGGGAGCACAGGTAATCAGGTGGACAGGGATTATCCATGGATACTGGTGACTCCCAAATACAAAGGGCTACTTCTCAGGCTTTTTGGCATAACTGGGCAGAAAAGTGAGGCTGGTGTGAGAGGGCTGTCTTTAGAATGACCACAAAATGTACCACCCCAACTGGCACAATTCTGCCAGTGACAGGAACAATATAATATTCTGAGACAGTGGTAGCCACCAGGATGGCCCAAGGCAAGCCCTGCTTCTCTGACCTCAACCTCTGCACTGCCTGAGCCTTGCTGCTCCTCCAGGGTAGAGGGTAGGCAGGCCTGTGTGCCTCAGCAGTGTACCACTGGCTGCCCTTCACTCCAGGTCCAGATGTGTGCATGGTGCTGGAAGTCCTGGGCCACCAGCTCCTCAAGTGGATCATCAAGTCCAACTACCAGGGTCTGCCTGTGCCCTGTGTTAAGAGTATCGTTAGGCAGGTAGGTAGGTGCTGCCCCAGGCTGTCCAGCTTGGCTGGGTGTGGCTGCTGGGGTTCAGTTCTAGTTTTCCCCAGGTGCTGCATGGTCTGGACTACCTCCATACCAAATGCAAGATCATCCACACGGACATCAAGCCCGAAAACATCTTGCTGTGTGTTGGAGATGCCTACATCAGGCGCCTGGCTGCTGAGGCCACAGAGTGGCAGCAGTCAGGGGCTCCGCCGTCCCGCTCCACAGGTACCAAAAGCACTTGTGGGGACTGGCTCCAGGCCTCTTGGCCTCAATCCCTGCCTCCATCAGTATTTCTTTTTCTCCCTGAACCTCCACCCGCAGTTAGCACTGCCCCCCAGGAGATCTTGGTAAGTTGTGAACCCCCCCTCTTTTTCTGTCTCCTCTTCCCACCCAAGCCAGCTGGAAGCTATGTCCTCAGAGTATGCCTCCTCAGCCACACCTGTTCCACACCCCACCCCCCGCACTCCTGCAGTGGCACTTCTAAAATGCTGGGTGCCCCAGATGAGAGAGATATAGAGGATCAGTCACATGGCCCAAAGTGCCCTTGGTGGCCACTGGGTCCACCACCACCTCAGTAGGATACTTTCCCTTCCCCTAATAGGCCATCTCAGCTGGGGCTGAGAGGGGACAGGAAGCAGTTTGGGGCAGACTCACCAGGCTCTCCCCAAACCCAAGCTTTAGGGAATAGGATAGGAGGGGAGGCATGGAAATGGTGTGCCAGAGGGTGGTAGCCTGGCACCATGGGGATCCTGAGGTCCAGAGCTGGGCAGGGAACCTGGGGGTGACCCTGACTCTGGCGGCAGACTGGTAAGCTGTCCAAAAACAAGAGGAAGAAAATGCGGCGCAAACGGAAACAACAGAAGTGGCTGCTGGAAGAACGGCTGCGGGACTTGCAGAGGTTGGAGGCCATGGAGGCTGCAGTACAGGCTGAGGGTGAGGGGCCAGAGGGGGCACTGGGCCACCAAGCACACGTGAGCTATGGGCCTCTGCTCACACATTGCTCTGCCCCATCTCCCCAGACTCTAGTTCAAGACTAGAGGGAGGCAGTGGCTCCACCTCTTCTTCAGGCTGTCACCCTGGGGGCACCAGGGCTGGCCCCTCTCCAGCCTCTTCCTCCCCTGCGCCCGGGCGTGACCGCAGCCTCAGTCCCAGCTCGCAGACCTCAGGCTTCTCAGGCTCCTTGTTCTCCACGGCCTCCTGCTCCATCCTCTCAGGCTCGTCCAATCAGCATGAGACTGGGGGTCTCCTGTCTCCTAGCAGTAAGTGTGGAGAACAGCGGGTAGTGGATAGGCAAGGCAGGGGGAGCTGAGCCAGATCATTCTCTCTTCCTCCTCTTCTTTCCTCAGCACCATTTGGTGCTTCCAACCTCTTGGTGAACCCCCTGGAGCCCCAAAATGCAGACAAAATCAAGATCAAGATTGCAGACCTGGGCAACGCGTGCTGGGTGGTATGAGGAACACCTTGGGGTGACAAACTGATGGGTCTTGGGAAGCCCCATCCTAGGCCTCTGACATGCTCTAGGACTCAAAGCCATCAGTCTCCTTGAGCAGAGCTAAGAACTACTTCTTGCTGTCCCCAAGCAGCAGAGTCTTGCCAGGCAAGCAGAACTACAGCCATGGCAAGGGGCAAGGGCCACTATGAAGGGGCCAGCCTCACCTAGCCAGTCCCTCCTGGGATTCTGGGGATCCATGGAGCTTGGGTGCGAGGGCCAGAGGCAGGAGAGGGGCTATGGGGGTAGGCCAGCCTCGGTCCAGGCTCCTGTCCCCAGGGCTCCCTTTTCCTCCAGCATAAGCACTTCACTGAAGACATTCAGACTCGGCAGTACAGGGCTGTGGAGGTGCTGATCGGTGCCGAGTATGGCCCTCCAGCTGACATCTGGAGCACAGCATGCATGGTATGCCCATCCGGCTGCCCCCATGCCAAGGGCCAGCTACCTGCCACAGCCTTACCTCTCCCCTCCCCTCCAGGCCTTCGAGCTGGCCACTGGTGACTACCTGTTTGAGCCTCACTCTGGAGAAGATTACAGTCGTGATGAGGGTAGGGGAGGCAGGTCCTGGTCTTGGTTTTGGGACCTCCAAATGCCTGCCTACCCACCCCCAACCTCCTCTCTTCCCACAGACCACATTGCTCACATTGTGGAGCTTTTGGGAGACATCCCCCCAGCCTTTGCCCTCTCAGGCCGCTACTCCCGGGAGTTCTTCAACCGCAGAGGTAGGAGCCAAGTAGGCTCAAGCCACATGGCGTAGGGAGCGAGGGGAAGGCAGGAACCTTAAATTCTGACACAGGGAACACTGGGTGTCAGCCAACCTGGTAACACAGCCTAATGCTGCCTGCCCGCTCCCAGGAGAGCTGCGGCACATCCACAACCTCAAGCACTGGGGCCTGTATGAGGTGCTCATGGAGAAGTATGAGTGGCCTCTGGAGCAGGCCACGCAGTTCAGTGCCTTCCTGCTGCCCATGATGGAGTACATCCCTGAAAAGCGGGCCAGTGCTGCAGACTGCCTCCAGCACCCCTGGCTCAATCCCTAGATTCTGCCACAGCTGTGGGCAGCATGGGCCATGCTGACTTTGCCCCAGCTCTCAGTGCCTTGAGGGAAGAGGGGCAATTCCCGCCAGCCTGTGGGAGCTCCTCTCTCACCCTACTGGGTGCTAGTGTGCTCACACCCCACCCCTACCCCTGTGGCAGGCCCATATCTCAGCCTGTTTGCCCACGATCCTCCTAGAAGGTCCTGAGTGGGAAAGTGTGCCTGTTTCTTAATAAAGTGTGAACTGAAACACCAGTGTCCTGGAGTGAGGGAAGTACATGACCAATGTCTGGGGTAGAAGGAGGTTTATTCTGGGGACTGCCCACTAAGCTGGCTGGAGCATTGGAGTGATAAGGTGGGGTCTATGCACAGACGAAGATGGCTACAGAAGGACTAAGCCTCCACAGCCCGGCCACTGATGATGCGGATGTGGCGGATGATATCCTGAATGGCTTGGGATGTGGTGCCCTGGCCTCCGATGTCTGGGGTGTGCATCTGTAGGAAGACAGGGAGCTTGGTCACACCAGGCCTGCTAACTACTCCCACCCAACGGCAGCCCACTGTCTCCTACAGTTGATAGAGCCTAGAGCTACGACCAGGGGGGTAGTGTTCCAGCTAAGGCCCACAAGCCCTACCCCACCTGATACTACCCTCCCCTTACAGGCCACAGCCAGTGCTGGTCACTGTCTGCAGCCCAAAGGGCTGGTTAACCAATGGGCTAGAGGAGGGGCGACTTGAGGTGGGGCTGGGAGGGAACAAAAGAAGCCTCACATTTTCATTGTCCATGGACGCCAAGACGGCTTTGCGGATGGAGGTGGCATAAGAGTGGAGCCTAGAGGGTGAGAGAGTCAGTCTTTGGTCCTCAGGGCCTAGGGGCTGGCCAGAGGGTTCATGGTGAGGTATCAGGACACCACTTACTTGAGGTGGTCTAGCATCATGCAACTTGCTAGCAGTGTGGCAGTGGGGTTAGCGATGTTCTTATTGGCAATACTTTTGCCTGTGTTCCTTGTAGCCTGGAAAAGGCAGGAGGGTAGATGGAAAAATGTAAGAATGCAGGGCAAATGGACTCTACTCATATGTTATTTCCATCAGAGGCACATCCCAGATACAGCACATGAGGGTAAGCCAGGGCCTGGGAAAGGGAATAGTAATGCTCATGGGTCCAGGTTTCCTTACAGGGTGCCAGAAATCTTTAGTTTTAAATAGTCCCAACAAGTGCACACCACTGTGGGCTATGAATTACAACTCAATAAGGTTGCCTAAAGAGAAAGAGACAGCAGGGCTGCACCTGGCCACTCACCGTCTCAAACACCGCATACACATGGCCATAGTTGGCACCAGCCACAAGTCCCGGGCCTCCTACCAGCCCTGCACAGACATTGTTGACAATGTTGCCATAGAGATTGGGCATCACCATGACATCAAACTGCTGGGGCCGGGATACCAGCTGTGAGGTAAGGAGCGGGCTGAGTTGCAGAAGTCATGAACACCAAAGGCAGGTGGAAGGCTATGGAGCCAGGTGGGCTGATTACCTGCATTGTGGTGTTGTCCACAATCATGCTGTCAAAGGTGATTTGGGGGTAGCCAGCTGCTACCTCCCTGCAGCACTGGAGGAAGAGCCCATCACCCAGTTTCCTAGGGGAGGTGGGGTATAGGACATCAGCTACAGTCAGCTGGAGAGCTGGGGTGTGCAGAGGGCCATGGAACCCTGAAGATTAACTTATAACCTGCACCCATCCAGAGAACAGGCATAATCCCATCTAGCCCACCTCTTCTAAGGATGAACTGAGATGAAGTCATAGAGCCTCAGGGGCAACAAGACCTTAGCACAGCCTCTAATATTCTAAACCCTGAGACCCTGCGGGTAGACCTGAGCAGGCCCTTCCAGCTGCTTTGGGGCTGCTCAAAGTAGGCAGGAGGATGTGGGGGAGACATACATGATGTTGGCCTTGTGCACAGCTGTTACTTTCTTACGCCCACTCTCCTGGGCCAGCTTGAAAGCATATTCAGCAATGCGCAGGGATTTGGCCTTGGTGATGATCTTCAAGCTCTCCACCACTCCTGCCACGCTCTGAGAAGGGGCCAGGGTACAAGTAAGGGGCCTGATGGGACCACCAAGGGATGCAGCCCTATATCACTAAGTATATCTACCTTTTCTGGCCCTTTAAGGGTGGGGCACCTTTTCCTCCTTCCTGAAGCTCTCCCCTCAACTCTGACCCTGGCCGAATCATTCTGACCTACCCAAGATGGTCACATAGCTTTACCTACCTCATGCTCCAGGCTGCTGTACTCGCCCTCTGTGTTTTCCCGTACAATGAGGATGTCTATGTCCTTGTGCCGGGTCACCACTCCTGGCAGGCTCTTACAGTGGATGACGTTGGCATAGAGGTCTAGGCTGGTGCTGGGAGGGTGACAGGGAGAAAGACAAGTTGGTTCTGACTAGTGGCTGACCAGGGTCATGAATTTTGCCACAGCCCACTCTGGCCTTCCCACCTTGGCCACCCTGTGCACATAGTTCTCACCGAAGGATGTTGTTTCGGGATTTGTGGGACGGTGGCAGGTTATGGTTTGTTTCAATGTTGCCTGCAAGACAAAAACAAGATAGGCAGGCTGAAGAAGGGTTCCCTGGACTCAGCTGCACTTCCATATCCCCTTTCCTGGCCCAGAGAATGTGCACCAAAGGTGAGCTTCATGAAAGCAGGTGTGTGTGTGTGTGTGTGTGTGTGTGTGTGTGTGTGTTACTGAAGAGTTTCAAGGACTTAGAAAAGCACCTGGCACATAGTAGGTACTCTGTATTTACTAAACAAATTAATAAATATGGTTGGCATCTGAATGGGAGACCCTGCCACTCACTGCCCAAGCTCTCCCTAGCTCCACAGAAGTATCACTCTTGTTTATGAGTAAGCTGACTGGCCAGGCTAGTGCCAACAAGGTGATCTTGGTCAGGGTTACTGCCAGGCCCCAAACTGAGGTGCTACCCATGGCACCCAGCTCAGGGGCAGGTGGTAGCTGCCTGAAAAAGTCCCCAACTAGGTCATAGCTTGTTTGGAGCCTGTCCATTGGCCCAGGCACCCAGAAGGGAAGCAGAGGCTCTGTGAGGCCAATAGGGCAGTAGCTCCTGGGAGGTGCTTAGACAGTGCCAAGGAGAAAGGCCTTTCATGGCAGCCCATCACGACTACCTGTGCCCCTAGCTGTCCCCTACCTAGACTGACTTCACCCAGAGTATTTATGGTACCCTGTGACCCACCTGTTGCCAACACCTAGGGCTCTACCTGGGTTTATTGCTATTCACACATTTCTCACCCACAGCAGAGGATGGACTGAAATTCATAGAATGATTGGGTGTTTAAGGATGTGGACTCAACCAAGGCACACTGCAGGAAGGACTGCTGGAATCCTCATCTGTAACTGTAATATCCGTGGCTTTGCCAGGAGCCAAGGCAGCAGGCGGAAGGTCAGAACTGCACCTCTGACATTTGGCTTATGAAGAAAGACCACGGGTCAAAGCAGACCCAACAGAGGCCTGCCTCACTGAAGGAAGAGGGAGGGAAGCCCTGCCACTGAGCAGGCTCACCTAGGCTACTGCCACTGAGATAAGAGAGTCATAGGGTCAACAGGCCCACAGAAGCCTCTCCCCAGACTCTAAGCATAAGAGTCTTCATAACCAGAAAAATCCCGAAATTGGAACCATAAAGCCCCCACAAGAGTCAGTTCAGAAGCAGAACCAATCATGCATACCACCCCAACCTGACCCCTGAACTCACCCTTAAGGGCCACACGGTTCCGGCGGATGGCCATGATAGCATTTCGGATGTCTTCCTCATCGGCATTGGAACTCACATGTACCTCTTCAAAGTCCACTGGCACACATGCATGCCTGGGGTAGAGCCAGATTAGAGGCTGGCCTAAGTAAGACCTCCCATGCCTCCTTCTGAAGCCTGCACAAGTCTCTCCCCTGCTGCTGCTCACTCACTTTGACCTGGCTCTAGCTAAGAGAGAACTGAGTCCACCCATGCCAAGCAAGAGGATCACAATGCACTGTTAGCAAGACTGGTGCTACCTTCCATGCCCAGGTCAACCTGACAGGATGCAAGGCACTGGGATGCAAGGCCTAGGTTTATAGGCAGGCCTTCCCACCAGCACCACACTGGGCACTTGGGGAAAGTGCCAGCTGGTAGGCTTCTGGGCTCACTGTACTTTTTTTTTTCCAGTCTTTTTGAAACAGGGTCTACCTGTAACCACAGCTGACCTGGAACTTGTTATGTAGATCAGGCTGGCCTTGATCTCAGCGAACCACCTCCCTCCACCTCCCAAGTGCTGGGATTAAAGGCATGTGCCACCATGCCCAGCTCACTTCTTGACAAAAAGTTTTTAGGGGCTTCCAGCAGGGAATGGAGCACAACCATGTCTCGAGACAAAGACAAGGGGAGGTAGGCCCAGAATCTCCATACCTGAACACAGACTTAACATGCAGCATGAGCTCTGGTCCAATGCCGTCTCCTGGAATCATAGTCACAGTGTGCCGCCCACCATACTTAGCAGACGGAGGCTGAAGGAAGGAAAGGGTGAAGGTAAGCCTTTGGCCATCCCCATACGCAACGTGGGTCAGTGACCACTGGCTTAAGCCAGTTCCCTTCTTCCCACCATCATCAACCCCATAGGCCAGCAAAGACAGGGCTACTGTTCTGGGGCTCCCTGGTCAGCAGCAGCCCCCCAAGCCACCTGGACTTGGGTTAACCCCAAATTAACTAAGAACCCCTCAAATCTAGTACAGAGGAGAATACTCACAATTGTTTGTTGCTAGAGGGAAGACAGAAAGGAAGAAGACACGGATCAGCCAAGGTTGGAGAACAAGGCTGTGACCAGGGAACTGTGGTCTTTTCCCTGAGGACGCTGCTAGCACAACTCAGAAAGGCAAGGTGTGAGTGACCTCTGGAGATTGCGCCTCAGAGGGAAGAACAGGAGGGCCAGGGAGCAAAGATACACAAGCACATGTGCATGCACATGTGCATACAGTGTGTGCACACAGTCTCATGGATACACATTACACACACATGTGCGTACGTACATGTAAATACATGTATTCCCCCCTATTTGCTCACATGTACGTGTGCACTTGCACATGGGCAACCAAGCAGGTACTTACTGAGGAGATGCTCCTCCGGGGGACCTCATGGGCACCCAGAACCTGCCAAAGAGAACCCAGATGCCAATGTTAGTTGTCTAGCCACACAAGTCAAGTTGGCGAGAGCTAGCCTGGTGGGAGAACAGGAACTGGCCATCAGTAAACAACAGTTCACCATGTGCCCAAAATACTCCAAAGCCTCCATTCCCAACAACTGTCCCAAAGGAGTACCGAAGTTTGTTTCAACACTTTATTTCTCTCATTGTTCAGCATATTAAAAATTGTGTGTCCTTAGCTTACTTTTGTTTTCGCTTTTGATCTTCTTTTGGCAAATCACTACATGTGTCAGAAGGAAAGATGGCAAACTAAACATGGTACAAAAGGGAAATCTCAACAAGTCACCAACCCAGCACATGGTCACTACAATAAAAGCAAATGGGGAAGTAAAGACAAGACAGCATTCCACTGCCCTGGGATAATCACTATCACCCGTGTGTAACAGTCCTTCTGAACAGAAATCAAAACCAAATGCCTAGAAAAACACAGCCATTTCTGGAAGACTGATGACACACCAACCTCTAGGGCAGCTTTGACAGGAATTACAAGCTGCTTTGTGGTATGGCCTGAATTGATGTTGAATGTTCCCAACACCCCGATGACATGTCACATTTGCCATGCTGATGACATGTCTGACATCTTCAGAGCAAAAGCTGTCCGGGCCAAATGGACCAGGTGCTAAGAAGTAACCCACTGCTCTGGAGGGAGAGGCTGTGTCCTCGGCTCCACAGAAGTTTTCCTCCCTTCCCTGTTGGGCCCCACTTAAGAACACTCCCCAGGCAGCAGTAGCAGAGTCAAAGTTCTCCTTGTCACTCACCAGGCAGTAGCAGTACAGCCAAATGCAGAGGCATCATGGCCATTTTCTAAAGAGCCAACGTCATTCTACCAAAAAAACAGGAGGCCTAGGCAGAATCTGACTATTCCCTACCCAGGACCCCTGACCCACAGTTACAAGGGACCCAGCTGCCCAGGCACTAGCAATGCAGGAATGCCACTCAATGGCCCAAGGTTGACCACAAGGACCAGAGCCCCAAGGGTTCCTCACTGATCTATGTGGCTAGATACATAGCCAAAGGCACACTTGGGACTTCTTTGTTGTCTTTCTAGCACTTGTCAGTATCTGGATGCAGTATCTGTAAGCTCTCCATACAAGCTTACAGAAGGTAGCACAGATAGTGCTTCTTCCTAGGAGCCTTCCCTGATGTCCTAAGAGTGTTAAGCTCTAGCTTCCCCCACACCCCCCATCTAAGAGATAGCTCCCTACCTGATCACCACTGCCTTGCTTTCTTCCCAGGTCCTGAGAGCAGAGTACAAGTCTGTCTCATGCTCTACTGTTGCTCCAAGGCCAAGCACAGTGCCTGGCCTAGAGCTGGGATTGCAAGAACATTTCCTATGTGAATGAACACATTACAAAACAAAGAAGCAGGGGCTGGACAGATGACTCAGTGGTTAAGAACACTAGCTGCTCTTAGAGAAGACCTGGGTTTGGTTCCCAGCACCCACATGATCGCTAATAACTGCCTGTGACTCTGGTTCCAGGGGATTTGAATCCAACATACTCTTCTGGTCGCCATGGGCATTGCATGAGACAGGTGCACTTATAAAGACAAAACACTCAACCCTTTAAAAATAAATAAATAAATAAATAAACATTGAAAAAAAGAAAGCAAAGAAGCAGATAGAGACGAAGGAGAGCTCAATCAAAATTGACTATCTGCTACTCTTGAAATGGTTTCATGTCTGCATTAGAAACCCATGGAATAGAAGCCAGACACGGTAGCACATACCTGTAATCTTAGGACCTAGGAAGTAGAGGCAAGAAGATCAGAAGGGTGTTTTGTTGTTGTTGTTGTTTTGGGTTTTTTTTGAGACAGGGTCTCCCTGTAGTCCCAGCTGGCCTGGAACTCACTATGTAGACCAGTGAGTTTCACACTCACAGCCATCCACCTTCATCTGCCTCCCAAGTGCTAGGATTAAAGGCGTGCACCACCACACCCAGCCTGAGGATCACAAGTTTAAGATCATCCTCAGATATGCAGTGAATTCGAGGCCAGACTGGGCTACATGAGACTCCCTCAAAAAAGGAAAAAGAGGAGGGGTGGTAAATCAATCTGTTGAATAGAGGCACTGACTTCATTTGACTAATGGAAAGTTTATGCAACAAGAGGTTCATACTATCCTTGAGTCTACCAGCCTCTCAGCTGGATTTCAAAATTACTGTTTTGGGGAGAAGCAAGGCTGATTTCTGTAGCTCCCAGAAGTTAATTTTGCTGGGCTTCAGTGATGGTAATGAGCCAGCCTTCTAAGGGCCTGTACTAGGCGTGGCTCAGTCTCTGCAGCCCTGCCCATAGACAGCAACAACAGCACGACCAGGGTTGAACCTGTCCCACAGCTGCCTCTGTCCATAGTCCCAGAACTCTCGAGACCCAGACTTCTCCAACCTTGCTCTGTACAAATGCAGGAATTTTCCTTTTTTTAAAAAAAAATATTTTATTTATTATTTTTAGTGTATGCGTGTGTTGTCTGCATGTAGATAAGTACACCCGTGTTATGCAATGCCACGAAGGACAGAAGAGGCTGTTGGATCCTCTGGAACTGGAGTTACAGACAGTTGTTAGCTGCCATGTGGGCACTGGGATTCGAACCCAGGTCTTCTGCAAGAACAGCCAGTGTTCTTAACTGCTGAGCCATCTCTCCAGCCTGTTTCCTTTTTTCTAAATTATTTTTATTTTACATGTATGAGTGTTTTACCTACGTGGATGTAAGTGAACATGTGTTGTACAATGCCCACGGAGGACAGGAGAGAGCATCAGATCTCCTGGAATCAGAGTTATAGACAGTGGTTAGCCATTATGTGGGTGCTGGGACTCAAACCTGGGTCCTCTGCAAGTGCAGTCAGTGCTTTTAACCATCGAGTCATCTCTCCAGCCCCACAGGTAGTTTCTTTAGGTGGCTATAAAGCTCTGCCACACAAGTCCAGATTGCACAGTAAAGCTACCAAAGAAGTCCAGTATGAGGCAGGTTGAGATGTGATAAGCCACTCACTCAGCCAACACTCCTTTGATAGCCTGAAGAAAGACAAAGGGTCCAGGGTGGTATGTGTTCCTGCTGACGCACTTCTACACTCCCCATCTTTCTAAGGCTTCTTTCTTAGGCATGTTTCTATTGGCCAAGTACCAATAGCAGTAGCATGTTTTCCCAGGAAGTGTCAGCCAATAGGACTTAAGATCTGGGGTTCTTCTATAAGGGTTCCCATAGGAGGACAATCACTCTTAGGACAGAGCCCTGACTGGCTACCAGCCATTCACTGCCACCTATTCCTATCCCAACAAAGGCATGCACACATTTAGGGAGAAAGATCTTCATCAAAAGCATATAGGAGCCAGCCTAGTTGCCAGAGCCATGTGGGGCCTCTTGGTAATCCTCTACATGCTGCTAGTCTATCATCAGCAACCTGGAAGTTAGTATTTTATTTATTATTTCTTACTGTGTATAGGCACATATACCATGGTGTGTGTGTGTAGATCAGAAGACATTCTGTGGAGTTGCTTCTCTCCTTGCACTTTACAAGAGTTCCAGGGATCAAACTCAAGTAGCAAGGTTTGGCAGCAGGGGCCTGTTGAGCTGTCTGGTTGGCTCAGAAGTCAGTATTTTAAACAGAATTTCCTAAAGCACATAGTCTCCCTCAGAGAACAGAGGGGAGAAACATGACAAACACATGGCGTTCTGAAAGGTGAGTTGGCAGGATACTTTTGAGAACATGAAGTCCCCTACCTTTACTGGATAAGAGGGGAAACCCGGCCTCGAGAGAAGGGAATTGGCCTAAGGCCATGCTGTGCGGTCAGAGAGCAAGGCCTGGAGGTCATATCTTTTATCCCCCAGGGCTACGGTTCGCTTCCTGCTACTAAGCAGTACTAAACAGGAGCCACACTAGCTAAGACCCCAAAGAGAGAACCAAGGAAGCAAAGCCCCAGCTGCCTCCAGTCTCAATCTTGCTTCACTGTCACTACAAGTGCTTGAGATCGCGAGTTGGCCTTTAGGTTAAAATCAAGTGTCCAGGAGCTTGGGGAGGGGGGATCCTGGGACTTAAGAATGCAACAATATTAAAGGGGTCAGTAGTCATTGGTGAAGTGTAATTTTACCACCTCCACTACGACAGGTGACAAAGCGATCCAAGAAAGGGAAACCCGAGGAGGTACCGAATCCGGGAAGAGGACACCAGCCTTGGTGGTAAGGGCAAGACAGGCCCGGACACATGACCTCTTCAGAAGAGCGTACACAAGGACAGTAGGGGACACCCGGCCCCCGCGGTCCACCCCCACGCCCCTCGAGCCTTCGGGAGCCCGTCAGCAGTCAACAGACCCCAAGGAGAGCCAGACCGTGACCAACGTCGACCAATTTCTTGACCGACAGCTAGATGTGGCCAATGAACCCCGGCTTGCAGCCCTCTCCCCGCCCCCTCCTAGGGCCCGCAGCCAATCGAAATCCAGGCTGCTCCCAGAGTGGCTACCCCTCTCCCGGTCTTAAAGAGGTGCGAGGTCCCCCACTGAACGCTGCTGTATTGCGGACCATTTCCTACTCACCTCCCAAGGACGGCAGAGGAGAGCTGGACTGAGCACTGCCTTCGCAGCGCCACCAGCGGCTGTTGCCACCTTCAGCGCCATGACGGAAAGTGAGAACCTGGGCAGCGCTCAATGCGAAGACGGTATTCACGCGAGAATTCGGCAGGGCGAGAAGTCTCGGGGAAACGGGAGTTCAGCACTACGCATGCGCACCTTCGCACCGGTTCCCACGGCCCCTTCCGGTGCTTGCTATGCTGTCGACGCCATCTTAGGGTTGGGAGTCCGCCGGTTGGGACCGTGGGTCGGGAATCGGACACGTCAGTGCCGCCTGCGACGTAAGCAGGCCCGACCCAGCCCTCTGGCGCTTGATTGGGTGCTGCGACCGCTTACGCGTCGCGCTTCCTTGTCTGCTCCGCATGTTCAGGGCGGCTTGGTCTCTTTTCCCCTCCGCAGAGAAGAGGCGATGGCGGCGATGGTATCTCTCGGCGCTCTGGCGCTACTCCTGCTGTCTGGCCTCTCTTGCTGCTCAGGTAGCGGCCAGGCGGGAGCTTGTTTCGGGCGAACCTCTGTCCCGTGGCAGGTGGTGCTGGGGAGGACGGGTGCGCGCGAGGAGAGGTGTCTGGCCCTTACCGGGGCGGTCGCTAGAGGCGGGGTGTTCTACAGATGAACGTCGCGACGCAGCGACCAGGAAACCATATAGGTTTGTCCGGCAGCCAGACTCATTGAAGAGCCCCAAAGCTGCTCCGTTCTATGGGCCACCAGTTCCCCCGGGGACGGTAATACATCTCTGGTCGTTGTCTCGGAAACTGGTCTCACAAGACCAGTGCTGTCCAGCACCAGGCTATCCTTACGAGAAACAGTGCTGGCAGAGAGGATCGAGACTGGCAGGCCAGTTTTCCCCAAGACCGCGGCTAAGCGACAGGGAGTAAGGACGCTCCTGCAGAGGAGTCGACGCAAGATCATGGGGCAACTTAGATAGCGAGCCCAACAACTGAAGAAGGGCCTTTAGTGCCCAGAGACTTGACTCTCCATGAGGTCCTGGTGTGTCCATCCCAGGATTCATAGCAAAGCTGAGCTGAGCACAAACCTATTGATTCATAGTTGTGAGCCATTTGTAACATTTGATGGTGGGATTGTGCTTCACTTGTAGTCCAAGTGTGTTTTAGAGGTTGTTACTACAGCACCTCAGGCCTGGTGGCCTGGACTGAGCAGGAGTTGCTTTCTGCACATATACATAGCTGAGAAGGGTATGCTCCATGCCCCCACCCACCCCTCAATGTCTTGAAAAGACAAACCGGGCTGCAAAACCTATCATGGGTTCCACAGTGTCAACCAGAAAAAGACCCTACTTAGCAGGACACAGAGGGGGGTGGTGGGATCTGGCACTTGAGAACCACACTGCCCACTACCATTCCCAGGCATATTCCTCCTGCTATTCAAACCCAAAGTCTTCTCCAGCTTAAATGGACAGTCTCCCAAGACATATTCAGAGAGTAATTTGACATGAAGATTGAGAACTTTCCCATTTCATGTTTGCTTCATACCCTGTGACTTAATACCCTTTTCCTGTGGCCTTCTGTAGGATGGAGATGCCTAGGGGTGGCTGCTTTCTCCCAGAGATCCTTGGTTTACAAAGACAGAAGTAGGATATTTGGATCCAGACTCTTCTGTTTACATCAGGAAGCACCAGGACCAATGTTGGCCTGATGTCAACTAATTGGGTGCAGAGATCCTTTCCTTTACCTTGAAAGTCCCTGTATATTGCTAACACCCTACTTAGCATCTGCAGAGAATGCTTTCAGTAGGCTGTTGGGGTCGTACATGGCTCTGAATCAAAGCTGCCTTGGCCTCTTGAGCTTCTGGGGTGCTCCAGACCCGGCAAGGTGCTACATGGGCTCCCTGTCATAGATTTAGGCACCAACGTGAGTAGTTATACACTTCTCAAACACCCCTGCGCTTCGAGTTGTTTCAAGGTTCACCTCTGCAGAGCCTTCCCTTCCCTTTTCAACAGACTCCACCTTGTGGAAACAGAAGGATCTTTGTGTCCTCAGCTTACCAGGTCTGAGAGGGAAAGCCAGGATAGACCCATTTGCCTTGCCTGGAACATAAAAGTTGGCTTTCTCTCCTCTCCACAGCAGAGGCCTGCCTGGAGCCCCAGATCACCCCTTCCTACTATACCACCTCAGATGCTGTCATTTCCACTGAGACTGTCTTCATCGTGGAGATCTCACTGACCTGCAAGAACAGGGTCCAGGTGAGCCTGGGAATTCAGCCAACATGGTGCAGGGAAAGAGATGAGGGTGACAGTGCTCTTCATTGGCAGTTGACAGTCACCCAAGGAGAGATGAGGGCACAATGAGGCCAGATCCTAGCAGGTACTTCAAGAGTATTTTCCTGACTGTATGATATGCTTTGCCTACATGTACTAAGATAGGTAGACACCCCACTGTTTCCTGGATGGATGTCTAGAATATGAGAAAGGATGGGATCAGACCCCTCCATCCTTTTTCTGGTTGTGGTCTGCCAAAGTGTGTTGTGTCCATGTGAACTTCTGTAAGTTTTAAGATTGAAAAGTCCCAACCTCAGCCCCTAACCTGCCAAAGAAGGAAGTTGGGCCTTTGGGGGCGGCAACACTCCTATGGTTAAACACCTTGTGTGACTCCTCCTGACATTAGCTCCTCCCTCTCAAGCTTCAAGAAATAACAGGCCATTTCCATCATCCTACTCATGTACATCTAACAGGCTTGCTGTAGGTCACGTTAGGCTGATCATAGGGGAGATCTGTTCTATTCGCCCCTTAGGAGATGTCTCATACAGGCAGACAGTAATAATGTCCATGGCATGACTCCTAGTATGGCTCTGGGCTGTCGCAGGTCTACTTCTTGCTTCTTGGGTCTTCTATGGCAGTCCCCACTAACATACTGCAGCACTCAACTGACCTAACCTACCTCCCCAGTCATGGAGCTGCTGGAACAACACAATGGGGGTTCTGCCTATGCCCAGAAAAAGTGACTCTTGCTTTGTCCTCCCATCTAGAACATGGCCCTTTATGCTGACGTTAGTGGAAAGCAATTTCCTGTAACCCGGGGCCAGGATGTGGGCCGATACCAGGTAAAGGATGCTGCATTCAGGGATGTTGGGGAAATGGCTTAAAGTGGGGTTAGTGCCCAAGGACTCGAGCATTGCTTGTAGCGGTATGGTACCAGTGCTAGCTAGCAAAGTAGTCCCTCAAGTGTCTTCTCTGCCCACCCCCCTGCCAAACACCCAACCAGGTGTCCTGGAGCCTGGAGCATAAGAGCGCCCATGCCGGCACCTATGAAGTTAGATTCTTCGATGAAGAGTCCTACAGCCTCCTAAGGAAAGTGAGTATCATCTGGAGCCCCTCCAAGGCCCCAAGGACGGAGGGCACACCCCACTGTAGTCATCTCTACCCTGCTCACCCTGTGTTCCCCTTCTGGACCATCAATAGTCTAGGGTCTATCCAGGAGGGCGCCTTCCTGTGCTCCTGCCCTATCTTCCCCCCACCCCTGCCCCCTTTCCTCATTTGTCTCTTGCCCATTTCTCCTCCACCTGGGCAGTCTATCCAGCACCTTTTGACCCCAGCACCTCCTTTGCAGGCTCAGAGAAATAATGAGGACGTTTCCATCATCCCACCCCTGTTTACAGTCAGTGTGGATCATCGGGTAAGTGGCCTCAGCTCAGGAACAGGGTACCCACATGGCACACCTCATCATCATTTTGGGTTAAGGCCAAAGAATGGTCTCATCCAGTGCAGCTCTAGCTCTGAGCTATCATTGACCAATGTGTCTTGAGGACAAGTGACTATGGATGGCTGGTCCACTCTTCTGTCACTCCCCTGAGCTGTCTTTTGGTCTTCTTGCAGGGCACTTGGAATGGGCCCTGGATCTCCACAGAGGTGCTGGCTGCAGCAATTGGCATAGTGATCTACTACCTAGCCTTCAGTGCAAAGAGCCACATCCAGGCCTGAGGGCAGCACCCCCAGCCCTCCACTGCTTCTTTCAATAAACAGTCACTATTTGCCATGGGTGCATTTAAGACACAGGACTTTGTGTTCATGGGGAAAGCTGGGCATTCAAGTGCCTTTGTTTGCCTTGATAGCCCAGACATTAAGTGGGGAGCCACACTTTCCCAGAGACCTGATTTCTGTCCTTGTCCCAGTTGCCTTCATGGTTTTGGTCTTGGCCCTCCCCAAGGAAGCCTCTTGGGGAGTACGTGGCCTCTTGAGCAAAGACCATCTTCTTTCCTGTCCTCACCCAGTCCCCCAGCGAAAAGCCTGGTCTCTATTCTTCTTCTTGTCAGGAAGTCTTCCCATGGTCAGCCTGTGACTCTCTGGGACTTTTTGACTAGAGGCAGGGGGTCTACTCTCCTGCACCTGCAGTCAGGAATGGCATCTTCCCTGGCCTGGGCAGAGAAGGCAACAGCTTCATTGTGGCTGCTGTGGGCCTGGGCACAGACTACACAAGAGCTTTCATGCCTTGCCTGCTAAGCAGTAGAGGCCCTGTGTTGCTGATGGGGTTGAAGTTGGCACATGTACCAGCACCCTTAGCACAGGAACAGTCCCTCTGGACTCCACATCCATGTTGGAGAGACAGTGAGCTTCTGAACTGAGTATGTATGATTTGTAAGAAAAGGGACAGGCAGCCTTGTATGTGCTTATGTGCCACACTCTAGCTCAGCCCTCTGCGCAGGCTTTGGCACATGCCACAATTCTCCCTAATGCTATGGAAGGCTAATTGGGGAGGGTAAAATTCTTAAGAGAACCTGTCCCACTGCGTGCCTTCTCTAGGATATGAGGTCATTGAAACTAGCTGGCAGCACCCTGATACCTAGGCCTATTAGGAGGATTGGGGCTCCTTGATACCTCCCTGCCTGGGATCTGCCACAACCATTGGAAGGGCTGGATGTTGCAGGGCACAAAGTATGTGACAGCAACTTGTGGCCCAGGTCCATCCAAGTCAAGAGGCATCCTCCAGACTAGAGGGGAGCCACCTGCCATATCAGGTCCTTGGGAAGCAGGGTGAGATGGAATGCAGAAGAATGATCCTTGAGAGCACCTGAGAACAGTCATGTTTAGCTGCACGGCAGATGAGGTCTCTGGACTCCAGAAAGACTAGAGGTGGGAGTAGTACCTGCTCCCCTTGGCTGCTAAGTGAACATTCCTGTGTTCTGCTAGCAGCCTACACGGTAGACAGGCAGTGGCAACAGCTACTGACCAACCAGTTGGTCTTTTTGGTTCTGTCTCCACCACCCAGCCTGATGGCAACAAGACCCAAATGTGAAGTTGCTGTTCAAGGGTATCGGTAACCCAGTGCCACCAGCCCTCCTGGTGCCATCTCTTCTATAGCTGGCCAAGGCAGCCCAAGCTCTGGGCCAATATTGGCTGGTCCTGGTCCTGAGAGCACCCTGCCAGAGAACAATGGGGTGACTCCTGAGCCATCACAGTGAGCCTCCCAGTAGCTGGAGGAATGCCAAAGGAACACTTGATCACGGTCTCCTTCACTGGGAAGGGGTAATGGGCTTGAAAGGGGGCAGCCAACATCTCTAGTTGTTTCCTTTACTCCTGTTCCAATTGCCTGTTGCCCCTCCCTGCTCGCTGGCAGGTCTGCCATGTGCTATGCTGGGCCTTCCTTCCCAGAAGTTTTTGAGTGTGGCAGGAAGATGAGGCTGTGCCCTTGTGACCCAGCCTTCTCGGTAACAGGACTCAGCTTCTGGGAATGGAGCCTTGGGTTTCCCACTCACACCCATCTTGGCATCTGGCTTATCACCAGCTTGCTAGAATCAGGGCATTCAGGAATTAATGAAGTGATACCTACCAGCAAACAGCATGACAATGAACACAAGGAGTCCACATCAACCAAGTAAAAAGGCAGCTTGCTTTATTTATGAGATGCAGGTGGGGGCAAGGGCATCCTATGGCCTCCAATCTGGGCTTTATCAAGCCTGAGGGGCATCAAACAGGCGGCACATTGCAAATTGCATCAATCACCTGGAAGAGGACTGGGCATCTCCCTCTCAGCCCACCTTCCTGACGCTGGATCCAGACCCCAACCACGTCCTCTCCAGGCCATGTGACCTGAGGTCTTCCTGTTGCTCAAGGGGCTTAACTTCTCAAACCCTTGGACATCAAAGCTCCATGCTCAGGCCAGTGAGAAAGATGGCCATGCTTCAGATGGCACAGGTCAGGGTTCAGTGGATTTTTTTTTGTCTTTTAAAGACAGGGTCTCCCTGTAGCCCCACCTGGCCTGGAACCCGCTATGTTGACCAGGCTGGCCTCAAACTCAGACATCTGCCTGCCTCTGCCTCCCAAGTGCTGGGATTAAAGGGAGCACTGGGACTAAAGGCGTGTGCCACCACACCTGGCTCAGTGGATTCTTTTTGGATGGACACTGCCACCACAATCCCTGCAATCTCACTCTCCTTGGGTCATTGGGGAAGGAGATGGGCCCCAGAGGTGAGCCTTGAAAGCCAAGGTAGAGACTCCCAGCCACCCCTCAGAGTAGAGGCCACCAGGACAGCTGCTTCCCATTCCTCCCCATCCCCTCCCTTTCCCTCCCACTCAACCCTCCCTCTCTTCCTCCCCCCCACCTCCTTCCCAGCCAGCACTTGGTGGGGTCCACCTTTGTCAGGCTGCCTAAAGGAGCTGCCAGCCCCCAGAGCAGATCCACAGAACAAAAACAACTATTGGCAAGCACAGAAAAGGAGAAAAAACCACAAAATTCGGGGTTGCCTTTGTCTACAAATAACTGCAGCTCCCAGGGGCAGGGAGAGGCTGTGCTCAGCAGTGAAGTTGGACATCCTCTTGTGCTTAGGATAGCCCACCTCACCTCTCTGCATTGACTTCCCTGTCTCCAAGAACACATTAAGAGCACTGCATGTATATTATGTGCATGCATATGCACATGAGTGCCCCTTACATGTGTGCCCTCGATGCTGGCTGTCGGCGTAGCCTCTTGGGGAGAAGGGAGTAGACGGAAGAGAAGTGTCCCTTCTTGGGTCTTTCTATTACCAAATTCCTACGCGCGCACACACACACACACACACAAAGACGGGGAAGAGTGTGCATGAGCACAGCGTGCAAGCACACACACGCTCACACACTAGATTCTAAGGGAGGGTGAGGGTTGGGCTGTCTGGGCCTGGGCCAGGCTCCTGCTGGGGCAGCTCAGACTGTGGTGACTGAGAGCAGAGGGTTGTAGATCCTTTTGCCATCAGCTGAGCGGGCACCGTGGGCCAGCATCTCCTGGATGGTGATCCAGTTGTCCAGGGTCTTCTTGTTTTTCTTCTTCATGGTCTTGCGGTGGCTCAGTGCAATGATGTTGAGCTCAGGCTTGCTATTGCCATTCTGCTGCTCCTTCAGACACTCCAGGCGGCTCTGCATCATGAACTCACGCCGCTTCCGCTGCTCCCGTGCTCGGATCAGGTGCTGCTTCCGCTCTTCTTTACTCCAGTAACGGCCCATCTTCATCTCGCTCACTGCATCATCATCAATGGTCATGCCACTGTGCTCCTCCCGGATCTTCAGGGCCCGGGCCTTCAGCAGCCGATCTCGGACAGGCCTCTTGGCCACATAACGGGTCCCATCGCTTCGCACTTTCACCTTCCACTCCATTCGGGGTGCTTCAGCAGCAGCAGCCACCACCCCACTCACCCGAGGGCCACCAGCCAAGCTCAGGGAGCCATGGCCCAGCTCCTCCAGGGTGCGTGGTGGGGCCAGCTGCACACAGCTGTGATAGTGCTCACTCTCCTGACCACGATGGCGCCTGGATAGGTAAGGACTGCCTTCAGGGGCCACACGCTCCAGGGTCACCCCAGTCTTGGGGCTGCGTCGGACACGCTCCTCTGTATGTTGTCTCCGTCCCACCTCAGGATCCCGGGAGAGGGATCGGAACTTGGCAGGACTCCCTGGTGAAGGAGCCGCCTTGGGGTGGGTGGCGACAGGAGGGCCAGAAGGGGTCCGGTTCAAGTTGGAGTTGCCAGCAACAGCAGCAGCAGCAGCAGCAGATCGCTTCAGGGGGCTCTCGGGCATAGGCTCCACGAGCAGGGGAGTGCTACGGCAGCTCTCCCCAGTGTTGTAGGCGCTGGTGCTGTCCTTGTCTGACTTCTCTGGCAGCTCAGAGATGTCAGATAGCTCATGCTTCTTGGGCTCACTGGGTGCCAGGTCATAGAGGCTCTCCTCCTCCAAAAGCCAGGCCTTCATACAGCGCTCCCGCAGCTGCTGCATCTTCTGTGCCCGCAAGATGTTGCGGCACTTGAACTCCAGGTGCCGTAGCTCCTCCTCCAGCATGGCCATCTCGTGGCCCAGGCTCTCATTGCGATTGACATCCAGGGCGCTGTTGCCACTGGAGGCCCGGGCAAAGAGGATGCCCAGCTGGTTGCCATTCTCCAGGTGGCACTTGATCTCCAGCAGCTCCCGGTAGCGATCATACTCCTCATCAGTGAGGCTGGGCAGGTCAGCCCCTTCCAGCCCCGCCCCCTCGGCCAGCAGAGAGTCCATGCTGAAGTGAAAGTCCCGGCTCTGCAGGGCATCCCCTTGCAGGCCAAACTTGCACAGACTCCCAGGGGTGTTGGTGGTGCTGGGGGGCTCATCCCCCAGCAAGTCGTGTTCAGAGCTCTCTTCGTTTTGGGTACTCTCATCAGTCCGGCCCACCCCACTGTCCAGCTCCTGGCTGTTGCTCAGGCCTGGGCCCCCATCAGGAGGAGCCTCCTTTTCTTCATCATTTCCAGGCTGAGACTGAAATGGCAAACACAGTTAAGTTCCCACAGATGCATGCTGCAGGAAGTCTGGAAGGAAGTGCATGATTGGTTCCTTTCCAGGCACAGGCTGGGAGATCCTGTACAGCCCCAGGTCCCTTCCTCCTTCCCTTCCCTACCTCTTACCCTCCCTATTTAAAAGACCTTCCTCACCTGCTGGGTAGGGGGTGACTTCAGCTTCCGGGCGTGAAGGTCCCCATCATTCTCAGTGCCAAAGTCATCCAGGAAGTCATCTCGGTCACTGTCCTTCCACCGCTTTGCTAGCTGCAAAGACAGGTATGAGCTAGCCCCAATGCCTCAAGGATCGCCCCAGAAGCCCCTCCACCCTGCTCTAGGCTCCATGCTCTCAGTGAAGTCAAACAGACCAGCAGCTTTCAAGACAGATCCTGGTGTTGGAAACCCCATGTCATCCTGTTAGATGGTACAAATACCTGGCTCTCCGGCCGGGCCACCAGCAGGGAAATGTTGGTATTCTCCTCCTGGCTCAGGATGGCCACTGCTTCTTCTCGATTCTGGACGTCCATGCCATTAATCTGCAGAGGGAGATCAAGGACAATCAACAATGCTAGGACTGGACTAATGGAGGGCTCTGGCTGTGCTGAGACAGGCTCTTAAATTCTGGAAAAGCATAAATAAGCAGAATGTGTCTGGTGAAAGGATGACCTGGCCTGTGCAAAAGCATGTCTGGCTCAGAGGGCATGGTGCAATGGGAGTGGAGGGAAAAGGAACTGGGGAGGTGCTAGCAGAGCCCAGGGGCACATGGAAGCCTCAAGGAAGTTGAACAAAAGAGAGATGAGATTTGGTCCAGGTTCCAGATGCAGTAAGGTCCTGGTGGCAGGCTAGGTTCTCAATGGGAAAGGCCTGGGATGGGGTCAGGAGAGGAGCAGGACTGTCCCCAGGGTACAGCAGGGCCTCAGACCAGGCCTGGGATCCTGCCTGTGAATGCTCACCTGGATGATTCGGTCTCCCTCACGGATCCGGCCGTCTTTGGCTGCAATGCTGTTGGGATTTACCTGCAGGACACATGCATTTTGGGGACTGGGGACCTATAATGTCCTTTTCAGTGGGAGGGAGCAGCCTCACCTTGGGGGGCTCCCAAAGCAAACTGCAGCCTCACTCCCTTCCCACTTCAGCTCAGAGCAACAGCTTCCAAGCACTAGGAAGCAAGGGCGAGGCAGTGGGCCCAGGGCAGTTTAGTTTGCTCCCTCAGCTTAGAAGATACCCTTCCCCTGCCCAACACACCTGTACTCTAGCCTCAATCCCTGACACTGCTACACTCTTTTTTTCCCTTTGGCCTTTTTGAGAGAGGGACTCCCTGTAGCCCCAGCTGGCCTGGCACCCCATACATAGACCAGGCTGGCCTTGGACTCACAGAGATCCACCCGCCTCTGCCTCCCAAGTGCTGGGATTAAAGGTGTATGTCACCCCAGCCGGCAGGCACTACTACACTTTTTTGCACAGAAGCACAGCAACCACAGTGCTGGGGTTGAAACCCAGAGCCTTGCACATGCTAGGCAAGCACCCTACCACCAAACTATGCCTCCAGCTTTTATGCTTTGTTTTGTTTTGTCTTGACACTGAATGTCAAGTAGCTAGCCGAGGCCTTGAACTGATCCTCCCAAGTGCTGGGTTACAGAGGCATAAGCCACCATACCCAGTTCAGAGGGCTTTTATTTTTCCTTCCCCTGGAGGCTGGGCAAAGGCAGGTGGCTGGACGCTTTCTCATAATGAAAATACATCAAGCCTGGGGGGAGGGCTTGATGGGCAGTGAGGCATTTTTTTTCCATTTGGAAGGTTAGCTTTAGTAGGATAATGCTAGCAGAGAACTGCTGGCTATACAAACATATGCCAGAGGGAGGGAGGTGGGCCCCATGGATGAATACATTGAATGGAAGCCATGGCCACCCTTGACACCCAGCAAACTACTGTAACATCCAGGGGGCAGCTAGGGTCTCTGGGCAGCCCTAAGTCCTCCTAAATCCTGAACAGGCTTTGAACAGAGGCCACAGGCTAGGCTCAAACAGCTTTGGGGCCCTCCTGTGTGCCCCGGCCTGTCTCTACCCCTTTCCATACCTCTCCAACGTAGATTCCCAGATCCTCCTCATCATCTGTGCGGTAGCACACCATCAGGCCCAGCTTGTCTCGGTGGCTGCTTTTACACAGTTCCACCTCCTGCCAGCACAGGGGGTAGGGGGAAGAAGCAGAGGTATAAAGGCTTGGAAGGCATGACTGAGGAAACGTGCTTGGCCGCAGCCTTGGTCCAGCCCCTCACCCCTAGCAGCCCCTTGCCTTCTGTTGGTGTCAATTGAACTGAGTGTGCAGCCCCTAGTTTTAAGGGCTCCCTCTTCTTACCATTCCACATGGTGCGAGTGTTCAATGGTTTCCCTACCAGGAAACACCCAAGACACACAGTATGAACAGGACACACAGAACAGACATGCGTGGGACATGGACTCACCAAAACAGACAGAAAGTACCACCTCACCCATGCCCTCCCTGACTCAGGCGGCTATGTACCTAGACGGGCCACGAGGCCCAGCCGCCAGGGGGCAGCAGGGGGCAGCAGGAGCCAGGCCTGGGCAGGGCTGCAGAAAATGGGTCTGCTGCAGACTCTCGCCCGGGCTGGCTGCAGGCCCCTTGGCCAGCCACCAGGCTCACCTCATACTCCAGCTCGTCCATACGCTCTGCCTCCTGCGGGCCGCCCTCCATGAACTCCGCTGGGTCATAATACTCATGGCTGATGGGGGGGCTGCCCAGGAGAAGGGGGGGGTCAGATGGGCCATCTGCTCCTCTGGTAACTTAGCCCCAGCTCCAAGCTGGCCAGTCCCAGTGCACTCAGCACAGCACGGGGTCCTGCTCTAGGTGTACTCTCCAGAGAAGGTAACCCAGCTGCCACCTCCAGAACCTTCCTCTCTTAGCTACACAAATGCTGTGGAAGGACCTGGAATGCTCCTCAAATAAGAGTAGGCAGTGGGCCATCGTGATCCCAGGCAGGCACATCTAGCTCTCCCCACCCCAGCCCCCAGACCAAGGGCTGACTTCTCCAAAGCTCTGTGTCCCAGCTGTCCTCTGCACTGTTCCCACTCATGCAGCGCCCCCAGAAGTTACCCAGGCCTTCTGCAGAGCAGACAGACACCCCTCTGCCTCCAGGGGTCGCCCTCCTTGCCCCAAAGCTGCTCATGGCCCTGCAGCCTACCTCTGCACAGAAGGGCTCCCAGGACCACCTCCCTGCAGCCCCAGGCAGGATTAGCAGAATGAGTCATCGCTCAGATGGTCAAGGCCACCAGGCAGGGATGAAAGGCCCTTCTTCTGAGGGGGCCAAAGAAAGAAGCCGAAGAGATGGAAGAAATTCAGAGCAGGTGGAGGAATGGGACAGACAAGGGATGCAAGAAGATTCAAGGAGAGATGCTTGTGAGGAGGCAGAGGCGATGGGGCGGCAGAAGAGGAGAGAGGATGGAGGAGCTGCCAGGTCCCAGGCATGTGGGCCTCCCCTCGGCCCTTCTGCCAGCTGGTGCCAAGCCTGAGACCAGAGGCCTGGAGGTTTCTGAGCCCGAGTGACACGGTCAGCTCTGGAGGTCAAGGAGCCTGCTTCCTGCCCAAGAGGGGCAGCTGAGTTGGGTCTCCCCACCATGGTTAGAGCTGCAACAAGCTGCCTGTGGGTTGCATGGGGACAGCTGCCCCAGGCGGCATGTCCTCTCTGGAGGCAGGGCCCGGGCCCTCCTGAGGGCAACTCACAGCTCAGAGAGGACGTACGGCTCCAGGATGCCCATGGGTGGGGTGGGCGGGCGCAGCTTGCCCAGCGCCATGATATGCTCGAAGGTGATGTCGGTCTGAGTGCCACTGTCCACCAGATGAAGGTCATGGCAGGAGCTGTCCCCCCTCAGGCGGGGGCTGCGTCTCAGCACCTGGATCACCAGGGGCTCCTTGGAGGCGCGCAGGGCCTCTAGGGTTTGCTCCTGAGACAGCTTGGAGAGCTCCTTTCCGTTCACCTGCAGCAGAGACACGCCTCCGTGAGAACCCTCAACAGCCGGCTCCTCCCCTCTGGAGGTTTAGGCCAGAAAGACCCTGAACTGCCAACCAGCACCCAGACCTGCTCAATCAAGGTATCTGCCCACAGCCCTGGCTACCTTTGGTGCCCTCCTTCCCAGGTAGACCCCACTCAGCCTCCAATCCAGAGTGCTGTCTGAGTATTGCTATTGCTGTGCCCCTCTCAGAGTCACGTGACTATCTGTTCCGCGGTCTAGAAGCTCCGCCCTCACCCCAACATCTGCAGTCCCTCCTCCATCAGGAACCATCCACAGCTCTCCTGACTTCCAGCTTACCAGGATCTGCCTGTCCTCTGGCAGCACTTAGGCTAGCATGTAGAAGACCCCAGAGTTCCCTGATGATGACTGAGCTACAACTATCTGTGCTCATCCAACGCCAAGGCTAGAGGAGGGCAGAGTCCAGCACACAGAGAAGGGGCAATGGAGAGAGCAGTAAGGTACATAAGGAGAGGGACTGTTCCTTGTGATGACAACTCATTTGCTAATAGAGAGGGCTTTTTTTTTGTCTTTTTGAGACAGGGTCTCCCTGTAGCCCCCAGCTGACCTGGAACTCACTATGTAGATAGACCAGGCTGGACTTGAACTCAACAGAGATCCACCTGCCTCTGCCTCCCGAGTGCTAGGTTAAAGGCATGTATTACCATGTCCAGCCTGACAGAGGGCCTTTTGACACACAGAAGGCCTCCTGGAATTGCAAGGTACCCTAAGGGAAGTGCCAAGTAAGTGGATCTTACAAAAGCCAGCACACTTTCTTGGAGACTTGCTAAACAAAATGTTCCAGGTAGGGCTCTGAAAGTGAGTCCCCGCCAGATCCTAATCCCTTACAGAAGTAAGGCCTCTGTTCAGCAGATGAGGAAAAAGTGAGGCCAGGTGAACAGACAGAATCACGTTCATGAGCCAGGAGAGGCTGCACAGCGGCCAGAGTAAGGGGTAAGGGAAGAGATCTGAGGCAGAAGCGAGACTGGAACAGCTAGGTAGGAAGGGCAGAATGATGGAGTGCAAACAGTCTTCTAGACAAAGCAAGCTGAGATTCCAGATGGGAAAGGAAGAAAGCTCATCACTGGGTGAGTGGGCAGACAGGCAGTCTCAGCCAGGTGGCCAGCAAGCACCCCCTTGGCAGAAAGCTGTCCCCAGCTGGACCAGTGTCTGCAGTACATAACATGGTTGGGCCCAGAAGCAGTTTGCTGTACTTGTTAGGTCCTCCTTGGGCACAGGACCAAAAGAGTGTTGGAACAGAACAGATGCTGCCAAAACTCAGAGCACTTAAGGGCCAGCAAGGGGAATCAGGAAACTGCTGGAGGTGGAAACACTAAGGGAGTCTCGCAGGAGCTCATTCCAACAGCAGCTGCTAGAAAAACCTTTCTGGTCTCCACTGGAATGCCCTTACCAGCCTGGAGTCAGCCACCCCACCCCCACCCCCAACCCAGAAAGGAGGTAGGCAGCCTCCTCAAACAAGTGCAAAGGACGAGATGGGCTAAGAGGTGACACGATGCTGAGGCTGGAGGATCACTGTGAGTTTGAGGCCAGCCTGAGATGCATAACCACATAGTGAGTTCAAAGTCAGCCTAGGATACCTAACAGAACTCTATGCCCTTTCTTCCCCCAAAAGAGCTGGATGTGGTGGTACATGCCTATAATCCCAGTACTCAGGAAGAAGAGGCAGGAGGATCAGAAGTTCAAGGTCATCCTTGACTATATAGCAAGTTTGAAGCCAGCATGGATTGATTACAAAAGACATGGAGGCGGGGGGGGGGGGGGGTTACAGGTGAGGAGGCTGGTTTCCCTACTGCGGCGAGGGCAGGTGGGAAGCACTTTCAAGGGATTAGAGGACCTCTGGCTGTGGCTACGTGCAGTTACAGCAAATTAGAGTCCTGCAACATGACGGCTGAGCCCTGTAAGATGGGCCATCTGAAGGAAGCCCATGGTGTCCTTAGGGACCCCTCCCACTCAGCAACATCTCCCAGTTTCTGAGCCCAAACACCCTGTGCTATTTCACTATGTCCTTGTAGATAACAGTTTGCTTACTCTATCTCCCCCCTTCCTCTCTGAATGTTCATGTTCTGAAAAGTGCTTTATAAGAATCTCCATATTTGTTGTGAGCCATGTCTGTAATCCCAATACTTGGGAAATGGCAGTGAGAAGACCAGTTCAACGCCAAGCTGGGATACATGAGGCTTTGTCTCAAAAAAACAAAACCCAGGGGCTAGAGAGGTGTCTCTGTGGTTAAGAGCACCTGCTAGTCTCCCAGCACCCAGATTCAGTTCCTAGCACCTACTCAGGTTGCTTACAACAAGCTGTAACTCCAACTGCAAAGGATCCATATCCCTATTCTGGCATCCATGGGCACCAGCACACATGTGGCCTACACTCACACAGACACATACACATAACAAAAAAAATATATTTTTAAACTCAAAATCGGGCTGAAGAGATTGCTCAGTGGTTACTTAAGAGCAGTGGCTGCTCTTGCAGAGGACCTGGGTAGCACCCACATGGAAGCTAACAATAGTCAGTTCCAGGGGATCCAATTCCATCTTCTGGCTTTTGCGGGCATTGTGTGCATGTGATGCACTTACATCCATTCAAGCAAAACACATAAGATAAAAGCAAACTAAAAATTTTTTTTAATTTAAAAATCAGATGGAGCTGGTAGTACACAAAGCACACTGGAGGCAGGTAGAGGCAGGGCCTCAGGATTTCAAAGGCCAGCCTCAACTACATAAGGAATTGAATTGAAGACCAGCCTGGGCTACATAAGAGCCTGACTGGCAAAAAAAAAAGAGCTAGAGAGAAAAAGAGAAGTATGGGAGGGAGAGGGAGAAGGGGAGGGGGGAAGGGAGGGGGAGAGAGAGAGAGGAGAAGAGAAGAGAAGAGAAGAGAAGAGAAGAGAAGAGAAGAGAAGAGAAGAGGAGAAGGGGGAAGGAAAGCACCTCATCCACTGAAGAGGACACAGCCAGGAAGGTTGGGGAAAGGGCTGTGTGCAGGTGCCAAGGTGTATGTGTGTGTGCAGGGAAAGCCTTTGACAGGGTGTGAGGAATGGCCTGAGAGTCCTCTTGTAGTGGTGGCTAGAGCCAGTTAGTTGTTCAACACAGAAATCAATATCAGCACTGCAACTGTGTTAAGGTGCAACTGAATGCATGGCATTAAAAACAAAGGCGATACATACTGACACCTCCTGGCTCTCTGCTTGCTTTACTAAACTTTACTATCATCTGTGCTCCTGGCATTATTTCCATACTGTGCATCTGGAACTAAACACTTGGTGATGTGCCACTGCACATCTCTTCATTTTATGCTCAGTGGTGGCTCATAGTAGTGGTTTGAAATGGGCTATAGTGGAGCGTTTACACCACGGACATTGGCCAGTGCTCTAGCTCATGACTCAAGTTTTGTTTTGGAACATCTGCCAGCTCATCACTATCCTTAAGTGGAAACAAAGAGGCAGAAGAGTTCAGAGTTGATTCTGTGGGGGGAGTTTCCCTGAAACTCTCTAGGCAGGACAAGCACTCAGTGGAATGCTCAGGTGACACAGAACTGCAGGAATGCCTTTCTCCCTGGAATCATTAAGTTACCCAGCAGCAGTGTTACTATGGAAACCAGGCCCAGGCACTGGGAAGTTTGCAGGGCAGGCTGGTGGGGGCTGGGAACACAGTCTTTTAGCACCTTAGATCAGGGACCATGAGAGAGATTGCCTATGACAGCCCAGAAGATTCCCCTGGGCCGAGGCAGAGGCCACACACCCCTTAGCCTCTCGTGGCTTCAGGTCATGGTGAGACAGAAATAAACTGTGACAAGGAAGAGATTAGCCCCTCTAGGAGAGGAAGGGCTCCCAACAAGATGGAAATACATGGGGCACTGAGCAAAGCAGTATGGGGCCAGGTACACGGTGAAAGACCACAGCAGTTCTTATCCTGCTGTTCTGGAATGGTCCTGAGGCCATAAGCATCTCTGACCCCCACATTACCTATCTGTCTGTAAAAGGTACTCGGGCCTGGGTGTGTAGTTAAATGGTAGAGCACTTGCCCAGCATATACAAGGACCTGGGTTCCAGTTCCATGGCCACAAAAAATGGCATCCAAACCCAGCATGCTTCCACCAGCCTCCCCTTCAGCCCCACAGGCAGCTGTGTCCCAAATGTTGGTTATTTGCCTGACATTCAGGACTTACTCTACACTTATACCTCCTTTGCTGTCATCTGGTACAAGCCCCACAAAGCAAATCCAAATAGACCACAGGTACAAATGGACCACGGTAAATGCCCTGCCTTGGTAAGCAAAGGAATGGAATGCATGCAGTGAGGAAAGAGAAAGTTTTCATACTCCAAAGATGAAAACTAGGGAAAAATGGAAGGAATGGAAGACTTCTGGACAAGAGGCTGCATAAGAACAGGCCTGGGGGAGCAGGGGGGGGTGCTGGAGAGACGGCTCAGCAGTTAAGAACACTGACTGTTCTTGCAGAAGACCCGGGTTCAAATCCCAGCACCCACATGGCAGCTAACAACTGTCCATTGTAACTCCAGTCCCAGGGGATCCGACAGCCTCTTCTGACCTCCGCAGGCATTGCACGACACGGGTGCACTTACCTACCTACATGCAGGCAATACACGCATACACATAAAATAAAAATAAAAATATTAAAAAAGAACAGGCCCAGGAAAAATACCACAAGGCACAGAACTGACAACGGGTTAGTTACCTGGTCGTATGAAGAATCATGGCAACACTAGGAAAACAAAACTCAATAGCAACATGGGCAAATGACATCAAGCAGCTAAGGCATCTAGAGAAAAGGTGGCCAAGTGCTGTTGTGCCAGAGCAGGATGAAAAGATTCCTATTAGCACATCTGGGGACAGCCAATGCTAAACTGCTAAGGCATGTATGTTCCATGATCCAACAACCAAACGCAACAACAGCTCACAGATTGATCATCAGTAAAATAGGCA